AACTGAAATATGCTGGGTATCTGTTACAAGTCATAAGTCAGCTCAAATATGCTGGGTATCTGTTACAAGTCATAAGTCAACTGAAATATGCTGGGTATCTGTTATAACTCATAAGTCAGTTGAAATATGCTGGGTATCTGTTACAAGTCATAAGTCAGTTGAAATATGCTGGGTATCTGTTACAAGTCAGCTCAAATATGCTGGGTATCTGTTACAAGTCATAAGTCAACTGAAATATGCTGGGTATCTCTTACAAGTCATAAGTCAACTGAAATATGCTGGGTATCTGTTACAAGTCATAAGTCAGTTGAAATATGCTGGGTATCTGTTGTAACTCATAAGTCAGTTGAAATATGCTGGGTATCTGTTACAAGTCATAAGTCAGTTGAAATATGCTGGGTATCTGTTACAAGTCAGCTCAAATATGCTGGGTATCTGTTACAAGTCATAAGTCAACTGAAATATGCTGGGTATCTGTTATAACTCATAAGTCAACTGAAATATGCTGGGTATCTGTTATAACTCATAGGTCAGTTGAAATATGCTGGGTATCTGTTACAAGTCATAAGTCAGGTGAAATATGCTGGGTATCTGTTACAAGTCACATTAGTCAGTTGAAATATGCTGGATATCTGTTATAAGTCAGCTCAAATATGCTGGGTATCTGTTACAAGTCATAAGTCAGCTCAAATATGCTGGGTATCTGTTAAAGTCACCCGTTCACCTCTATAAACAGATGTTCGACTATCGATCTTTCATTAAGGGCCGCTATTTACATATTTGATTATACAACACCAAGAGCTAAATTGAGGATCATAGAAAAGAATTTTTAGATCAGCCGTGCCTTCATTATTGAACATTTCTTCATCAAAGATAACGGTATGTATCTTTAAGAGCTAGCGTTAGGGCTAGAAAGTCGATAGCTTGCCTTGATGAAATGACAGGTGAAAAATTAGCATAATTCATTAGCATTTTTTGCTTCATTATTTATATGTGTATGTAGGTGAGATATTTTGTCTGACATATTTTGTCTGAGATCATTTGTCCTGTCACCCGGGCGACATGGTCTGGTGTTAGAGCACACGCTGCTATCCGGAAAGAATCGAATTCGAATCCTGGGATAGAGTCAATGGAAAATATTGAAAGTAAAGGCGGCTAGGTAAAGAATTGACAACACAGTCCCTTCATTCGCCGAGGTAACAAATAAACCTTACTTCCCTTGAAGCACTAGGTCAGAAAACGTAACCTACTTATATAGCTAATATATCAACCGTAGCGGCTTTTTCCCCAGATAAACAAGAATTAGCTTTTTGCTGTAGTTTACAACTTCGATAGCTGCACAGATGTTGTCGATTGGCTACTCGATACTACACATTTTTTGACCTAATTAAATTTCCTCTTGATTTCACTCAGAACTACTCACCTAGGCGAGGCCTTTCAAGCCAGGATTAACCTAATTCCTATCGCGTTGATGTAAATCTACTCCGTTTCGCTACATTGTGTAGCGTTTATAGTAAGTGCCGGTTGACTTGAAGTGTCTTTAATCTCGATGTAATCTTGCAGCAATCTTGGAGCAATCTAAATGCTAAATTACGCCCTCTTTACCCGGCGACAGCAGCTGGCTAGGATATCAGTTTGTCAAATTTATTGGCGACATTCAAATAAAAATTTACCTCGACACGCTGGCGTAGTAGTTAGAACAGGAGTTGTAAGAAAAAAAAAGAAACAAAAGATAAAAGCTGATTTGGATACAAAAGATAAAAGCCGATTTGGATAGAAAAGATACTCCTAGCAATAAAAAAACCTACTACTCTGCGCCGATATTGTAAAGAGCTAGATCGTTTACTGGATTAGTGTTTATTGTTTTTTTTTAAAATTCCTTCCAGAGGTTTACATACCGTTTATACATACACAGTGCATCATTAATCAGAGTGACGTAACATCTCTTCGTGTGTGTGTGGGGGGGGGGGGAAGAGGGGTGTCAGTGTCATCCCATCCCTTCCCTCACCGGAACTAGTAAACTACCCTTTGACGAAAGATGTATAATTTATATATAAAATACATCCAGCATCTGCCCCCCCCCCTCTGTAATTTTAAGTGCACCCCCCCTTTCCTCGAAAGTTTAGTGACCATCCCCCCAACCATTTCCCGGATAAAAATATCTGAGAGAAACCCTGATCAGCCCCCCACCACATCCACTTCTCCCCCCTACTAGTAAACAACAACCGATTGATACAATACGCTACCCATAGTGTAAGAAAACTTAATGCTACAGGTAAAATAATAGAGAAGCAGGTTGACTGGTTTAAAAGATGTTTTTTTTTTTTAAAGTAAAGCCCACGTTTGAGATGCGAAGTATAAGAAAACATTCTAAAAATAAACTAGAGACACGTGACACACTTTACCCAGCACGCGACATTCAACAAATAGCGCCACATTCACACCCAGCTTCGCCCGAAATGATAATTATGATTTTCGTCTTCTTCGGCAGGATTTGAACCCGCGGTTCTGATATCAATGTCTAGAGCTTTTGGTGCATGTTTACTTGCCATCATCAACGCCTACAGATATTGCTGTCTGAAGGTTTAGAGCATGATAGCTGATGAAATAGCATTTGGCACCAAAAATGTTTGTGACCGTGTTTCTCCTAGAAGCCCTTTATCCCCCCGCCTCCCTTTCACACATTTTACGGCGCCTGTATACAATTAAAAACATTAAAATATAAAATTTACGTATTTTATGTTTAAAATGTTCAGTGTAGTGGTTGAAAATAATCGAATATAATCGATTTCAGTGTCTTTCTGTACTATACCTGAGTCTCTACGCTATGCTGTCAATCCCCGCCCCCCCCCCACCCCAACTTAACAAAGACTTTGATCAACTGAACACCTGTTGTCTCTCCCCCCTATCCGTAGCCTGGGTGTCTTGCACACCTTAATTGTTCTTCTAATTATTTACCTGCTCGCTTGAAGCAGTTAATATAAGCTAAGTGAGCCTACCTCACGCCTAATTATAATATAACTCGTTTTTTTAAGAAACAACATAACAGCTATCTAAATGAATTAAAAAGTGCTTCTGGAAGATTAATAGGAAACATTACTATTAGGCCTACATTTGGTGAAAGAGTTTTCGAGACTGTTTATATATCCATCGACATAACACACCCACCCCGCCACCTGTTATTGATAAAGACCCCCGGGGCTCTCAGAACAATTGTGAGCAGTACGGGGATCTGGTTTTAATGTTAAAGGTAATTCCAACATTAATTGAATAAATAACCCTGGCGAAACACCTTGCTAAAATACACCATGGAATTCGGCACCACTAAATATCTGAACATACCTTGCTTAAAACCCAATTCCACCAAATATCTGAACATACCTTGCAAAAAACCCAACACCACCAAATATCTGAACACACCTTGCTAAAAACCCAACATCACCAAATATCTGAACACACCTTGCTAAAAACCCAACACCACCAAATATCTGAACACACCTTGCTAAAAGCCCGGTATAGCCGCTCACCTTTTAAAAACACTCCAGCCAAATTATTTTGGTTTTATAAAAAAATATTTTCTTTTTGAAAATTAAACAATGTTGTGCGTCATATTGCATCCGTAGAATAGCAGGAAATGGAGGCGGATTAATTATAAAACGCCCGAAGCGTGTTGATAAACAGTAAATGTTTTCTGTTCTGGGTAGCAAAGTCCTGTATTTTCAACCGGAAAATCCCGTTGAGTTATTTTTACCCCATAAAGTGACGGGTTAGTGGCAGTTGCCCCTGTCGGCGTGTAGCGATGCTGTAGCTGCTGAAGTCCTTGTTAAAATACCCCCCACCACCACACACACACGTAAAGATCAGCAAATCAATAATCAGTCAGAGTAATTTAAAGAGCCAAACTATTTAACCTATTAAAATTCACTTGCTAAATGAAGCCGAAATTCGAAGTTTTTTTTTAAAATCACTGTCAAATACGTGTAGGGCAAAATAGCTATTCATTTAATCTTAAGGATAACTGTGTTCAACTAAGTTGCACCAAACAAAGTTATTACATAAATAGCAAAAAATAAACAAACAAACAACAGCACACAACAGATGCGAGGGTTGATTAAAAACGATCAGTTTTTGAGATAGGCTGTCTATTAAGCAACAAAAAGGTGGGTGGTAGTAATCACTTTTACAGAGATATGTTACAGAATATAAACAGCTCTTAATGCTAGATTTGAAGAAGTTTTTAAAATAGTAAACAGACAGGAATGCGTAATTTGTAGGTTGTCTACCATATGAAAAACGACGTAAAATTACAAGAGTTAAGTAACCTGAAGCCCTAATTAACATGAGCAAGTTTTTAAAACTTCAAACAAACCAGAAACAGATTCTTGTTTTTCATCTAACGTTAAGAAATTAGGCGTACAGTTTAGAAGGTACCGTACGTTTTGGTGCGATGTGTGCACTGTGTCTTTGACGTGATTAGTGCGCATAAGGACAGGATAAAGTAGCGCTTTGTGGCAACTTTAAGCACAGCATTGACACAACTCCTCCCCGATATAGTTCCCCAACATAGGCAAGTACTCTTTAGAGCTGGGTTGGCTCAGAGCAGTCCCACACCCATAGCGGAGAAAGTTTTCACTTTACCGAACTATCGCCCGACCACACCACTTCCGGTTAAAGGAGGCTTCTGTTATTTTTAAAAACAAAACATTTTTGGATAAGAGCTACACATGCTAAATTTACACATTAAAATAGCTATAGACAGGCGTAGAGTTATGAATTCAGATTTTAAAGGGCTATTTGCATTAGGAAAGTTGTTCTTTGGTAACGGCCTAATGTGGAACCCACCCCTTTCCATCCCTTCCTTTATTAAACTTGCATTAATTGAATGTAAACATTATTTGAAAAATTAAGAGTTAATTAAAGAAAATAGGAGATAAGAACTAAAACTAACTAAAAGTACTTTTTGAATTCAAATCAGTAAAAATATTTCTAAAGCCTCTTACCAAAAATTGAGAAAATTACAAGCAAACAGTGTGAAGAAAATGTGAAATAGTCCATAAAAAAAAAAAACAAAGTTCTCGTTGTATAAACCCGCTACAAGTGGCAGATATTTCTGACAACCGAACAGTCCCTACTCCTCGAAGCCGCACACTCATTGGCGGACGTCAAATTATACAAATATCCCTCAATTAATTAGCCCCCACTTTACAGTTTTTTGCAGCCGGCACGTGGGACTGGGCCCAGCGCGCGCGCACCCTGAGCGATACTCACTGGCTCGTGAGGCTACCCTGAGCGATACTCACTGGATCGTGTGGCTACCGGGGGTTGCCGTAGGTGACCGACTTCTGGATAGAGGAAAGTGAAAAACAACAAAAAACAACACAAACAGTTTTTTGTATAAAAGTGCAGTAGAAATGAACATATAAAGTATATTGACTGAGGCTATTAACACTAAATAGTGTGACTTCTAGGCTTTTTTAAAAAGAACAAATTAAAAAAATGCTACATGAACGAAAAACCTTTCTCTTGAACATTCAAATTAAAAAAAACAATAACTGAATAGACAGAAATCAAACAGTAAAACTTAAATATTTAAATAACCCTGTTATGAAATGACTTTAATAAAGTGTGGTATTAAAACATTCTTGTTAAACTGGGCAAAGTTAGGTCTGCTTGGCTTACTAGGTCGTTACAGTAGAGAGCCACCCAATGTAGTCAGTTACTGAGGTCTAACTACAGCCTGTTGTTCTAGAGGAGGCTTCATGTCAAGTGATTGCTCAATGTTGGCTCAGTCTTGGCTCAGTAATGGCTCAAATTTGGGTCAGTTTTGGCTTAGTGATGGCTCAAATTTGGGTCAGTTTTGGCTCAGTAATAGCTCAAATTTGGGTCAGTTTTGGCTCAGTAATAGCTCAAATTTGGGTCAGTTTTGGCTCAGTAATAGCTCAAATTTGGGTCAGGTTTGGCTCAGTAATAGCTCAAATTTGGGTCAGTTTTGGCTCAGTAATAGCTCAAATTTGGGTCAGTTTTGGCTCAGTAATAGCTCAAATTTGGGTCAGTTTTGGCTCAGTAATAGCTCAAATTTCGGTCAGTTTTGGCTCAGTAATAGCTCAAATTTGGGTCAGGTTTGGCTCAGTAATAGCTCAAATTTGGGTCAGTTTTGGCACAGTAATAGCTCAAATTCGGGTCAGTTTTGGCTCAGTAATAGCTCAAATTTGGGTAAGTTTTGGCTCAGTAATAGCTCAAATTTGGGTCAGTTTTGGCTCAGTGTTGGCACAGTGATCACTTAGTGATGGCTCAGTGATGGCCAAGTGATCACCCAGTGATGGCTCAGTTTTGGCTCAGTGATGGGTCAATGATGGCCAATTGTTGGCTCATGATGTCTCAGTTTTGTCCCAGTCCACATCACACGTCCTCGTAAGGTTTTCCCTGACTTGAGCCACTGTCCACCCGATGACAGGCTATACATAATATCTGCTCACTACTTATCCCCCCTTATGCTACTAATCCAGGTGCTCTCTTCAACAAACATTAATAGGTTACAAGTGAGTCTATTGTTAGACGTAGGGGTGACAGGTTATTGTTTAAAGTAGGGATACAGATAAAAACTAACAGATATGTGTCGACTCGAGTCTCTAATTTAAAAACATTAAACGTAAAGGACAAGGACAGCGTATGACTGTTGGTTGAGTGATCTCTATGACTTGTAGTTTTGGTTGAGTGATCTCTATGACTGGTGTTTGAGTGATCTCTATGACTTGTAGTTTTGGTTGAGTGATCTCTATGACTGGTGTTTGAGTGATCTGTATGACTGTTGGTTGAGTGATCTCTATGAATGTTGGTTGAGTGATCTCTATGACTGTTGTTTGAGTGATCTGTATGACTGTTGTTTGAGTGATCTCTATGACTGTTGGTTGAGTGATCTCTATGACTGTTGGTTGAGTGATCTCTATGACTGTTGTTTGAGTGATCTCTATGACTTGTAGTTTTGGTTGAGTGATCTCTATGAATGTTGGTTGAGTGATCTCTATGACTGTTGTTTGAGTGATCTGTATGACTGTTGTTTGAGTGATCTCTATGACTGTTGGTTGAGTGATCTCTATGACTGTTGGTTGAGTGATCTCTATGACTGTTGTTTGAGTGATCTCTATGACTTGTAGTTTTGGTTGAGTAATCTCTATGAATGTTGGTTGAGTGATCTCTATGACTGTTGTTTGAGTGATCTCTATGACTGTTGGTTGAGTGATCTCTATGACTGTTGGTTGAGTGATCTGTATGACTGTTGTTTGAGTGATCTCTATGACTGTTGTTTGAGTGATCTCTATGACTGTTGGTTGAGTGATCTGTATGACTGTTGTTTGAGTGATCTCTATGACTGTTGTTTGAGTGATCTCTATGACTGTTGGTTGAGTGATCTCTATGACTGTTGGTTGAGTGATCTGTATGACTGTTGGTTGAGTGATCTCTATGACTGTTGTTTGAGTGATCTCTATGACTGTTGGTTGAGTGATCTCTATGACTTGTAGTTTTGGTTGAGAGATCTCTATGAATGTTGGTTGAGTGATCTCTATGACTGTTGTTTGAGTGATCTGTATGACTGTTGTTTGAGTGATCTCTATGAATGTTGGTTGAGTGATCTCTATGACTTGTAGTTTTGGTTGAGTGATCTCTATGAATGTTGGTTGAGTGATCTCTATGAATGTTGGTTGAGTGATCTGTATGACTGTTGTTTGAGTGATCTGTATGACTGTTGTTTGAGTGATCTCTATGACTGTTGGATGAGTGATCTCTATGACTGTTGGTTGAGTGATCTCTATGACTGTTGTTTGAGTGATCTCTATGACTTGTAGTTTTGGTTGAGTGATCTCTATGAATGTTGGTTGAGTGATCTCTATGACTGTTGTTTGAGTGATCTCTATGACTGTTGGTTGAGTGATCTCTATGACTGTTGGTTGAGTGATCTGTATGACTGTTGTTTGAGTGATCTCTATGACTGTTGTTTGAGTGATCTCTATGACTGTTGGTTGAGTGATCTGTATGACTGTTGTTTGAGTGATCTCTATGACTGTTGTTTGAGTGATCTCTATGACTGTTGGTTGAGTGATCTCTATGACTGTTGGTTGAGTGATCTGTATGACTGTTGGTTGAGTGATCTCTATGCCTGTTGTTTGAGTGATCTCTATGACTGTTGGTTGAGTGATCTCTATGACTTGTAGTTTTGGTTGAGAGATCTCTATGACTGTTGGTTGAGTGATCTCTATGACTGTTGTTTGAGTGATCTCTATGACTGTTGGTTGAGTGATCTGTATGACTTGTAGTTTTGGTTGAGTGATCTCTATGACTTGTAGTTTTGGTTGAGTGATCTCTATGACTGTTGGTTGAGTGATCTCTATGACTTGTAGTTTTGGTTGAGTGATCTCTATGAATGTTGGTTGAGTGATCTCTATGAATGTTGGTTGAGTGATCTCTATGACTTGTAGTTTTGGTTGAGTGATCTCTATGAATGTTGGTTGAGTGATCTCTATGAATGTTGGTTGAGTGATCTGTATGACTGTTGTTTGAGTGATCTCTATGACTGTTGTTTGAGTGATCTCTATGACTGTTGGTTGAGTGATCTGTATGACTGTTGTTTGAGTGATCTCTATGACTGTTGTTTGAGTGATCTCTATGACTGTTGGTTGAGTGATCTCTATGAATGTTGGTTGAGTGATCTGTATGACTGTTGGTTGAGTGATCTCTATGACTGTTGTTTGAGTGATCTCTATGACTGTTGGTTGAGTGATCTCTATGACTTGTAGTTTTGGTTGAGAGATCTCTATGACTGTTGGTTGAGTGATCTCTATGACTGTTGTTTGAGTGATCTCTATGACTGTTGGTTGAGTGATCTGTATGACTTGTAGTTTTGGTTGAGTGATCTCTATGACTTGTAGTTTTGGTTGAGTGATCTCTATGACTGTCGGTTGAGTGATCTCTATGACTTGTAGTTTTGGTTGAGTGATCTCTATGAATGTTGGTTGAGTGATCTCTATGAATGTTGGTTGAGTGATCTCTATGACTTGTAGTTTTGGTTGAGTGATCTCTATGAATGTTGGTTGAGTGATCTCTATGAATGTTGGTTGAGTGATCTGTATGACTGTTGTTTGAGTGATCTCTATGACTGTTGGTTGAGTGATCTCTATGACTGTTGGTTGAGTGATCTCTATGACTGTTGTTTGAGTGATCTCTATGACTGTTGGTTGAGTGATCTCTATGACTGTTGTTTGAGTGATCTCTATGACTGTTGGTTGAGTGATCTCTATGACTGTTGTTTGAGTGATCTCTATGACTGTTGGTTGAGTGATCTGTATGACTGTTGTTTGAGTGATCTCTATGACTGTTGGTTGAGTGATCTCTATGACTTGTAGTTTTGGTTGAGAGATCTGTATGACTGTTGGTTGAGTGATCTCTATGACTGTTGTTTGAGTGATCTCTATGACTGTTGGTTGAGTGATCTGTATGACTTGTAGTTTTGGTTGAGTGATCTCTATGACTTGTAGTTTTGGTTGAGTGATCTCTATGACTGTTGGTTGAGTGATCTCTATGACTTGTAGTTTTGGATGAGTGATCTCTATGACTTGTAGTTTTGGTTGAGTGATCTCTATGACTTGTAGTTTTGGTTGAGTGATCTCTATGACTGTTGGTTGAGTGATCTCTATGACTTGTAGTTTTGGTTGAGTGATCTCTATGAATGTTGGTTGAGTGATCTCTATGACTGTTGGTTGAGTGATCTCTATGACTTGTAGTTTTGGTTGAGTGATCTCTATGAATGTTGGTTCAGTGATCTATATGAATGTTGGTTGAGTGATCTGTATGACTGTTGTTTGAGTGATCTCTATGAATTGTAGTTTTGGTTGAGTGATCTCTATGAATGTTGGTTGAGTGATCTCTATGAATGTTGGTTGAGTGATCTGTATGACTGTTGTTTGAGTGATCTCTATGACTGTTGGTTGAGTGATCTCTATGACTGTTGGTTGAGTGATCTCTATGACTGTTGTTTGAGTGATCTCTATGACTGTTGGTTGAGTGATCTCTATGACTGTTGTTTGAGTGATCTCTATGACTGTTGGTTGAGTGATCTGTATGACTGTTGTTTGAGTGATCTCTATGACTGTT